GCTCGTGTGAAACTTATTCACTTATTCAATCCGAAAATACCTCGCAAACACAATTTTAAATTGTGCGCCGTGTTGGACAAATCGGAGGCCCCTTCCACACTAGTGTGTTTGTCGTTTTCGTTTGAAAACGCATATATTCACTCCGATTTTTTAGCTAGTTGTTCAGCACTGTGTTACAGTACTTTTTTTGGAAGCACTATTGGTTTCCCCTCTTTAAAAACGAGAGAATCTGGACCGATTTAGCTTTCGGAAAGTACCTCTGGGACGACTCAGGGACTGTTTCTAGGGACTGAAAAAAAAAGAAAAAAGAAAAAAGAAATGGAGTACTTAAGTGTGACGTCATAAAAATGAAATTTCTGAAATCATGGAATTTGTCAGGATATTCTGAAAGAACAATGTCCAAGAGGCCTACTTGCCAAAAATGAGCATTTCGGGGCAAATTGTCTCTGATAGCGTAGCCCAGTTATGCTTAGAAAACTCTATGCAAACCCTTCAAAATTTTTTTTGGGTCGACCCCCCAAAAATTAGAAGGGTTTGTATGGAGTCTAATTTCTGGGTATAACCGGCTAGCATCTCGCCAACAATTTGCCCCGAAATGCTCATTTTTCGTAAGTAGGCCTCTTGGACATTGTTCTTTTAGAATATCCTGACAAATCCCATAATTTCAGAAATTTCATTTTTATGATGTCATCACTTTAGTACTCTATTGCCAAATACTGACCGGCGCGTCCTTAATAACGACCCCAGTAACAAGTGCGGGACAGATTTCGGCTCGAGGTTTCCTTTCGTTTCTAAAGTAGCGAATTTTGAAGACTATGATAAAGTTTCTGAGTTAATTTTCTATTTTTTGCAGGTCAGCTATGGCGCTTCCAGTTCACTTCTTAACGACAGTTCCATGTACAATACTTTTTTTCGCACCTGCTCCTCCAACGGACATCTCGCAGTTTCTCTAGCCGCTATCATTGCCTACTTTAGATGGTCCTGTATCAATATAGTTTCCTCGAGAGAAGAGGGTTCGTATCTTGAGATCGCCCAAGACCTAAAGCAAGAACTTAAGTACCACAACATATGTGTTGCGATCGACGAGGTGGCCGGCTCGTATGACGAAATTCCAGGTATAATTTTCAAAATCAAAAGGCGCGCAACTGTAACCGTAAGCGTCCTTTTGGGAAGTGATGATTATGTTGCTCACATTCTTGACGAGATCAGGAACAAAAATCTGACTAAAAGGATATGGATTGGAATCAACATACCGCGGATTGACAATACATTTGTAATCGATGGCTCACTTTGGATCTCCACGCCAGCGGAAGACTTGGGCGAACTTGGAAGTTACATAAAGAAGGTATCAGCGGACATTTCAGGAGCATATTTTAAAGGGCTTGCGGCCAACAGGTACAGACCTGAAAATGTTACTCAGAGTAACTTCCTCTACTTGCAGCGTTTCCCTTGGGATAAAATCGTGTATGTCATGAACTCAGTTCTTGCGATTGCCAGTGGACTCGAAAGCGTGAAAACTTGCCGCCATGGTGATCCCCATTGTTCGAACTGTTTGGAGGAAAATTTTACCTTATCCTACGTTAGGAATCTTCTTCTAAGACAATTGGAGGGGAGTTCTTTTGTTGACAATCGTGACGTCTATGTATCTTTTAATAAAAATCGAGAATTGAACACAGAATTCGACATCTTAAACTTACGCATCACCGACAATAGTACTTTAACGTCATTCCGAGTCGGAAAGACAACCGGACATAGAGGTCTGGTAATTAATGCGAGTGAAATTCGTTGGCCTGGTAATGAGCCTGAAGTCCCTTTTTCGGAATGCTGGGAACGCTGTCCTTCGGGCTCATACACCGAGAACTATTCTGGTGTTTGCTGGTGGAGCTGCCATAAGTGCCCTCATGGGACATACAATAGTAACTCCACCTCGACCTTGTGTAGTGCGTGCCCAAAGGGGCAAATGACAAACGGACTTCAAAGCGCATGCGTGGACAAGCCGCTGATAATTATTAAAGCTGGAGAATTTCTTGCAGTTATATTTCTGTCAGCTTGTGGCCTGGGAGAGATGTTAACTTTGTTGGTACTTGGTGTATTTGTGCGGTACCATGTGACACCTGTGGTGAAAGCAGCTAATCTCACTCTTAGCCTGTTGTCTTTGATCGTTCTCCTCGCCTGGTTTCTAATACCTGGTCTTTATATTGGTCAACCAACCAATGTCACGTGTAATCTAAGAGCTGTCGTCTTAGCTGTTTTGTATACAGCTATTACGTCGGTTCTTTTAACCAAGACAAATCGCGTCATCAAAATATTTTCCGCCATTAATGTCAAGAAGCATCGTTTTCTCAGTAATTACTGGTACGGGTTTCTGACATGCGCGTTAATCATAGTACAGCTCGGGATATGCGCTTTACACCTTCTTATTTTCCCGCCAAAACTCCTTTACGACTACAGCGTTTCAGATGCTCTTCTCGTACAATGTAAAGCGAATCTGGGTTTCGACGTCACTGCGCTTGGATATAACATTTTCTTGTCGCTAACGTGTTGTGTTTTAGCGTACCAGTCTCGTAAACTTCCCTCAGCATACACCGAATTCAAATGGATTTTTCTTGCGATGTTTACAAACATTTCGTCATGGCTAATCATTCTGATAAACAGTCATGCTTGGCCCTCTACCAAGGGAAACCTTATTTGCACAATTATGGCTTTGATGGTGGGCGCATATGCAATGCTTTTTCTTTTGTTTCTTCCTAAAGTTCGCGTTATATTCTTCCGACCTGAGAAAAACACGAAGCAAGCTGCTATAGAAAGTACACGGCGTTATTCATTAGAGCAGGCCAGCGGTATTGACCTATCGCCGGTTCAAGGATCGGATCAGCGGCGTAACTCCTCCCCGGCGTGCTTAGCGATGCAATTTATGAAGGGCTCTATTGGGAAATTACCAGCGATTAAGAACAATCTGGGGTCAAGACGATCCCAGAGTTCCAAGATTACGACGATAAACGAATGTTCAGAAGAAAGAAAAACAAGCATTTGAGCTCGTTTAACCAAGGTCAAAACTCCTTAGAAAACACAGTACTAGGTTTCTGCCAAAAGGGTATAGGAATTCGTCCACAGATTTAAAGGGGCTATGTCACCAGGATATTGCCGTTTAGTTGACCACTACCCCTCCCTTTAGTCCACGTTCATACTTACTTCTCACTTAGGGCAAAATTGTGATTTAGGGAAGGGGTTGGTGGTCAGTTACCCAGAAACCTTAATTGATCCTGTATTTTTAATAAATTGTGCGTACATATGCACGGGAATAAGGTGAAATTTGAATGTAACAGTTCTCTATAGTATTATCACATGGCCTATTGGGAAAAAAACATACAAGCTAATGGGGTCCATTGTGCACGTGGACAGCCATAACTACGCATTTTCAGATTGTAACGGCTTAGCTTTGATCGGTTTAGCCTTAGTTTTTACCACGCTTTCTCGTCCTGTTCAGAAAAACGCGTGGATGTAAAGCACGGCTGTAATATTTGAAGACAAGAAAACCAAAAGCGTCTTGAAAGCGCATTTATGTGGAGGATGCGGGAACCTTACTGTTGTTTTGTTTATAAAGTAGCAAGGTCAGTTAAAAAGCGAGTAAAACCCACATAGTTTCAAGTTTTTGAAAATTTGTTGAATGGAGATTTGACTAATCTAGAATTTAAAGGAATGTATACGATGGCAACAACACTATACATTTTTTCAAGGTTAGAATCCTTTTTCGCAGTTTAGCTAAAACAATGAGTCAGCAACGCTAGCAAAGACTTTGACCCAACCGGAACTCAGTTCAACAACTGTTTTGTCGTAGGAATTTGAATCAATTTAACTTAACATCTTTAGTATAAATTAACTTATTTCGAGGTTGTATGGGCCTAATTTGCAGTATTTGGTAAATATTAAGCTAAAAATTTTGATAACCAATTTAAAACATGGCAAGATTTCGATCCATTCAACCTGATAGGAAGATAGACAACTTGTTGGCAAACCGTCTATCATTACTGTAAAATGCCTAATTTATTGAATAAAATGGATGTTATCTTTTCGGTGAAAATACAGTAGCCCATTTTACAGTTACAGATGGAAACGACGCAGGAGTTGACCTTGTTTTGATACAGCCCTTCCTGCCTTATTTTGTAAATCATGTTGTTCTTATGCTAACTAGTATTTTTTTTTGCATAATTTCCATAAGAAAAAGAAAGAGGTTTGTATCAAAAGAAGGTCAACCTCAGCCTCACGTCCACTCAAAGGCTAGGATACTAAGCCCACGACTGCAAAATAGTCAAATGTCTTATTGTAGTTGAGTGCTTTACCCATTTGGTTCTCTTTACTATTCGTGCACTAGAAACCATCTAAAAGACTGTTAAAGTGTTTTGCGTAGGCCTTCTACCAGCGGAAGGTTTAACAGTCTTTGGCTGGCACAGAAAAAGTACCAACGGTGACTACGGACATTTTCCGAAGTTGCTTAGCAGCGGTCGATCCATTGCGCATGCGCATTGTGTAATCAAACATACTGGCTCGCACCAGTTCAGTCTTGTTTTTCTCGGGTTGAAATAAAATAATTCTTAGACGAGTGGAAAACATGCAAACGAGGATGGTAAAACCCGTAGTTATGAGAGCACAGCATAGAATTATGCGCCTGTTTTCCACATCACTGTCATGATACGATGGAACAACTATTATCCAGATGACACACACAGTGAATAATGTAAACCCAATAAGTCGAGTTTCGTTGAAGTTCTCAGGCAGTTTACGAGCTCTATAAGCCAGATACGTCGACGGTATTGCTAGTACAGCGGAATATCCCAATATGATTGTGAGTAAAGTGTCCGCCTTGTCGCCGCAGTCAATGCTGACTTGAGACTCGAAGTAGTGCGGTGTTACTTTTGGAGGGAATTTCAACAACCATGGAAAGATTGCAGCCAAGACAGTTACTGTTAAAGCAAGCGATATTAAGAGTTGCATATGAATGCCATAAAAACCAACCTTCCCTGGTAGAAGCCTTTTTTTGAAAATCAGCAGAAGGCGTAATGTTTTTGTCAACATGAGGGAAGTCCATAACGTAATTACTAATCCAAAACAAAAAGGCTGCGTCGTGCAGATAGTGTTAGAGGGTCGGCCTATATAGAGCAGAGGTAGAAGAAACATGCAAGATATTATTGATAAAAGCAACAGTGAGTATTCGCGTGTCGAAGCTTTCACAACCGCACTGTTTCGATATTTGTAGAAGGCACCGAGCGCGAAAACTGAGCTCAAGAAACCAAAACCCGATAAGGCTAAAATAACACTTCCGGCTACCGACCCCCACTCCAGATAAACATCTGGGAGCTTTAAACACTGCGTGTGGTTCTCATTTGAGGTGTATCCCACTTGACACACAAAGCATGCTGATTGGCCAGTGGTGTTTGTGATTGATCCAGACGGACATTGAACACACTTCCAACAGCATTTCAAATCACCCTGAACTTTGTAGAACCCAGGTGCACACGATGAACTGCACCGCGAGAAAGGAACCTTCGGATTCCAGCCATTCCATGATATGTTGGTACCGTTGTGGAAATGGAGCTGGCGCCTGGCCCAATTCCAGGTCCCTAACGTAATGAATTTCTTGCCATGCACGTGATCAGGGTCAGGCTGTAAGCTTTTTACCAAGAAGTTACCTATAGCAAGTAGCAAAAACAATAGCGTCAAACATCGATGGGCAGTTGATGTTTTTGCCCTGAATAATGGGGAGCTTAAGCAACGACGACGGCAACGCCAGCAAAAACGTCAACCAAAAAGTGAATTCGCGCTGTTTCAATCTTCATCGCTCTTATTCCAATTCCTTTAATTTGTCAATTGTTGGCGATTTTTTAGAAAGTTGCATTCTAAAGGACTGTCTATAAGTTCGCAAAAAGAAAACGCAAATCGTTGTCTTGTGTTCACGTCCTCCATAAAACGTAAAATTAGGAAGTTTAACGTCGTAGTTGTGCAGTGACGGCAAAGAAATGTACAAAAAAGCGTGATGCACGTGCAAAATTGTTGTTTTGCTGATCTAAACCTATCGTTTTTTTGCCGTTCTCGTTGCCGTCTCCGTCCTCGTTGCTTAAGCTCACTAATATAAAACTATCACCTGAAGGGGAGGTTAACACTGGTGGATATATAGGCTTCCGTCCTCAGCAAAGGGAATTGGGAAACCATGAGAGGCGAACAAATATTTTACTACGCTGGGAATCCAACCCACAACCATCTACCGTTGCTCTTCTCACAAAAAGGCTAGATGGAGGAGAAAATTTTTCAATTAATATAAAAAGCCTAAGCTTGACTGGTGCTAGCCTGAATTTCATCCGATTGCTTCGAGTCGTTTTCTCCCCTCAGCAACGTCTGAATCGACCGGCCGTTAATGCCGTCTAGTGACGTCATCACTACCCGAAAACCGGGTAGTGATTTTGATTGGTTGATTGTCTAAACTTCGCACAATTATGCATAATTATGAGAAAATTTAGCGCGATTGTCGCTTGATATTCAGCGGATCACATCCCTTGCTTGCGTGGTGTTCAAACATTTCGATAATCTTTATTGCAGACAGCAAAATTGCCCTCGTCTTCAAAACTGAAATGCTAAATTGAACTGCGAATAAAGAATCATTGCTTAGAGTTGGTAGGTTTTTCATTTAGAGCCGCTTTGTGGTTTCGGCAGTGATTTTGTGTATGCGAAGTTTCCGAGACCAATGTTGTAATTCGACCTTCTAGCTATTTTCCCCGTCTAGTGCAATGATTCTGTTAGCTTTTCTTTCTTGTTTCATTGTTTTCTTTTTTCTTCGTTAAGGACCAAATAGCTTCTTTTCAATTAAAGCAAATCGTTGTGTTTTTTGAACTAAGTGTTCCGTGTGTGTATTTATTTCATTGTGTGATTGCGACCGAATTTGATTATGGAATTATAACCGGTTCAGAGTACTGCATGCAGTTGGTAGTTTGAACGTTAACATGAATTACGATCTAAAAAATTAAAGCCATTCTGTATGATGCAGACATTTCCAAACGATATTTCTTGGTTTGCCACGTCAAAATCGTGTTTAACTTTTTGCATGAGTTGAAGCAAGGAATAGTGACGTCACTGGACGGCATTAAACGACCGGTCGATTCAGACGTTACTGAGGGAGTAATAACGACTCGAAGTAATGGGATGAAATTCAGGCTAGACTGGTGCAACGCAACAACAGTTCTACTGCAAAATTACCTGCTATAGTAAATTCAATATTAGAAGATTGCATATTGTGAATTAAGATGGCAACCCGCAAGTTGACAGGTGATTGCCGCCCGTATAGGTGGTTTTCATGCAGTCTCGGGAGACACAAATAACAATGGTGAAATGAACAAATGCTGGTGGACAAACAAAGCAAGCTAATGAGCGATCTTTTGTTTACCGTCCACCAGCATGGCGGCGATGACGTAACTTGAAAACCACCTATTATATTTCATCCTGATATAATCTCCTTGATAATGACCTTGAAAGTTTAATGTAAAGTCAAGGTGATTGAAGGTCGAATTATCAATAAACGCTAATTTATTACGAAAACGAAATTTGCAACATTGATACAGAACTGTAATTCTGAATAAAATTTAAAATGCTAATAAATAAACACAAAAAATGTGAATAACAATCGGATTTGTTCAGCTGTCTGGTGTTAAACGAATTTACCACCGAAGTTGACGTTTGTTTTAAAAGAAAATAAAGTTTGTAACTTCTTGACTTGGTTCACATGTAAAATATTTCGGTAATAACGCCTTGCTTTTAGAAACTGTGCACCCAGTGAAACCAAGTGTGGTACATAATTAGTTTTCGAAGACTGAGTACAGTGGAACCTTGATATAACGAACCTCTCGCATAACGAAGTCCTCGATAAAACGAACTAGTTAACTCAGCAATGGTAAAATATATGAAAAAGAACCTCAATATAACGAAACCTCGTTATAGAGAACAAATTTTGCCAGTCCCTTTGCCCTTCGTTATATCGAGGTTGCACTGTATAATGTGTAGACACAATTTTAAACATTATCACCGTTCTTTTTTATGTTCTTATCAGTTTATTGATTTCAGGGTAAAAAATGATAAATTTTTTTATGTAAAAGCTGCATGTAAAACATGAATCAGTGTGTAACTATACCCCTTACGTGAACACGTCTTAACTTTTTAAGCCCCAGTATCCAAATACAAATTCTCCAAACTAATCCCCAAACATTTCCTTACAGAATTAGTTGAGGGAATGTGTTCAAAGATCAAGGCATTTTGCCTGAGATGATCACTTTATTTATTCTCATAAACTTTTCTTTTAATTATGTTTTGGTATTGTTGGGAGGAAATTGATGTTGGTCACTCTTGGGACTTAAAGGTTAACAATACATGTAAATAAATGAAATAATTTATTTTTCAAACCTTTGATGTCTCCATACTTGTCGAACATGATTGGAAAACCAAGTTTACCGGTGAACGATAAGTTCTTGATATATGTTAAAACATCTGACGGGTCGACACCGTTTTTCTGGTTTTTCATCACTTTTGGACATTCGTCATTTGGCAAAAGGCCTCTTCCTTTTTTACACTTTATGATGTCATTAAGTGCTAAGGCTACAGTATAAACTGCATCCATAACGTTTGCAGCCTTACTCATCTGCAAACTAGCTGCGTTTGGAAGCCCATCACCTGAGAAACCATGACAGATGACGTCATACGACGTACAATTCTGTTGGTTCAATTCCGTGTGGTTTTTGATAGAGGGATTCTCTTTACAGCGATCTTTGCTTTTCTCTTGTTCACATCCATACGTCCCCTGCCAAAAATCCTCAAACCAAGGATTATGCCTAGATGTTAAGGGTGTCAGTGTTTCCATGTGCTTTTCAAATTTTTCAATGTTTCCTTTGGTCGGCACAACAGCCAACATCCCACTCACCGTTGAGTCTTTAAACGATAGAATTGATTCCTTATCTCCCCACGAGTCTGTTCCAATCCAAATTTTTCCTGCTAGGTTTTGTCTTTCGGCTTCTTCTAAGAAGACTAACGCGTTTGGTATTTCGCAGAACAAGACAACGACCTTTGCAAGCTTGTCTTCCTTGAGTGCGCTGACTATGCGCGCGATTTGTGCTTTCGTCTCCGACAGCGTGTAGTCTGGGTGAAAAAGCTCATCAACAGATATGCAAATATTTCTCGGCTTTAATTCTCTTTTAAATGCCTCGATCCCTAGTCTTCCGTAATCTTCGTCGGTAGCAATAGTTGACACATAACTCCAGTTGTAAAACGTCACTAAATCGGCCATAACCTGTGCTTGCATATAGTCCGGTGGGATGGTCCTTAAAAAGGAGGGAAAATTCGACTTGATGCTAAGGGAGGGACTTGTTGATGAGTAACTTATTTGTGGAATTGAAGATACACCCAGGATATAACCCGCAGCCTTTGATATTTTCGAGCCCGCTCCACCAATTACAGCGACGACTGACGAATTATAGCACTGTGTTCTGTTTGAATAGGATCCTTTGTTGGGCTTTTCAAATCCGGAAGAAAAAGCCAGGGCAGCTTCCATGGCGAATTGAACCTTGTTTCCAGTGTCCCTTATATCGTAACCAAGCGTTATATTCGGGAGTATTATTGTACTGTTATTTATTTCTTCAATTGCGAATAACATCGCTTCCACCCACATCAGGCCAAACACGTTCATCCTGTAACAATTTAACTTGTCTCCGCGTAGGGATTTAAACTGTTGAAAACGTCTGTTGTTATCGTAGCATTTTGCCGTGTTTTTCTCGCTCAAGAACACAGGAAATAAGCCGCCGATGATGAAGTCTCCTTTGATATTTTGTGCTCGCTTTGGTGCAAAGGAGCTGAAAGACTGTCCAGTCGAAGCAGAGATCAAAATATTTAAAATCAATATGCATATGAACTCTACCAACAACTTACAAGACATCCCAACGGTTCTTTCAAGAGTAGCTTTCGAAGTCATCAGTGAAGTTTAGGATCTTACCCGTTTTTTCCTTGTCTTTTTCGCAATTGCCAATGTTTGAATTTATATTTACATGTTCTTGCGTCGGCGTGTAACCTAACAGCCGTGGAATCGGCTAAGAATTTGCACAATCTGTAATGGGATATTCTTTGTTAGCCTATTGTCTGTTTATACAATAACTCTGCAGGATCTGGGAATAACCAAAAAATTAAAATAATGGCCGTGTTTTAACATCCACTTAACGTGTTCTTAAAAAAATTACAAGTTCACCAATTTGTGTTTTTCAGGCCCGAAACTCTGCGAGAGATATTATTATCTCGCTCATATAATAGGATTCCACCTTCAATTACATCAAGTTAATAAACTGATCGTATAACCATACAAGCTTCTTGTCAAACTTAGCACATGTTAACCTTTGCGAAAATTGGTATTGTGCGAAAATATATCGTCAAAAATCAACCTGCTCCTGACATCAACATTCCAAACACTCCTCATGACCAATATTATCGCTGCTGTTCTTCATAAATTTCTTCCCCTATTCTAGATAAATTTATTCCAAAATCAGCATTTGCATTTTCAATTTGTAGCTCAATTCTATTACAATTTTATGTCCCTGATTTTCGATTACGCTGTAATATCAGGAAGTGAAATTGATTATTAGTATCTTTTCAAGAGTAAATGATCAATTCGCTTCTGGTCATTAGCTTTCTCAAATCCTCAAGTAATTGACAGAGAGAAAATATTAAAAGAAAAAGAAAGTTAGCAACCATGTTTAATTATAATCAGTGCAAATACAACTTTTCGTATATTTACTTTTCCAGCACGTTATTTGTTGGCTGTTTCAACACGTTATCGTTATCAATGCTTACCACAATATGTTGCTGAAACAGACAAATTGCCCGAAACAATTTGGAATATTTATGCATGATTTCCATTTACTGTTCCTTTCCTTTTTTGAAATAGACGAATGAATATACTGATAAAATGATGCGGATAATTTTAACGATAACGATAAGGATAATGATGATGCTGATTCTAATGCAAATGTTAATGATATTAGGTCTCGACACACTGTGCGACAACTTGGGTAGACAGAATTGCTAGCTTTCACTTGACGTCATCAAATTTCAGAAAAAAGAATGAACGATTCTCCTGATTTTTTACTTTCATGAAGTACTGGAGAAGCTAAAATTTAATATCTAAAAGCTAATATCTTTACAAAATTTCACTTCGAAGGAGTTGTTAGTTTTGTGATAGTGCACGCTTGTTTTCCAAGCTTTTGCTTGACGCAGTATTTGGATGGCGGCCGAGAGAGCTGTCATAAAGGTTTAATTTGTGCCTTATTTTGGGAGCTTTTGCTATCTAAATATATAGTCCTTTTATTATAAAATTTATTGCTTTTAATGTGTATTAGTTTCTCTATCTATGAATAGGCGCTTTCGTAGCAAATCTCAGTGACAGATGTTTCCGTTGGTTTCCGGTCGCCATGTTAGTGCACATCCCGGGATGGGTACAAACATGGCGTCCCTACACAAAGTTATATAAATTTAGGTAAATCATTTCTCTGAATATCTCACATACAAAAAAATGTACCGACCAGAATTTTGGCGAGGTTCTTTGCATATTTACCTCCTTTCATTTCCTAGATTCTAGAGTTAATCTATTGGATGAATTTTATTCATTTATTTTTGATGGCGTGACAGTGAAAACTCCTGCCGTTTCCGCAGTGAATTGCTTCACGCACGCGCTGGTGCGTTGTGCTTGTACTTTTATGGCCTCTCTCTGATGGAATCTTGTACCTTCAACGCACTATAGTTAAAAATTTAACCAAAACAATGGAAATAATAATTGACTTTTTCTTTACATGGAAGAAGTGTGACATTATGATTTGAACTCTGATCGAATAAAGCCAGCATTGCCTTCTTGAGATGATCGTAAAGGACGGTTTGTGCGTCTGGGTAGGTTTAGATGACATTAGGAGAAGAAGACGGTCTTCCTGTGCCTTGAAAATGTTTCAGAGCCTAACGTGTAAGTGATAATATTCATCGGCAGTCTGGTAGGCATTTTGATGTAGAAAACGTTAGATCTTCTAATCCGACTGCATTTTTTTGGTGACTAGCTTATTATAGAAAATTAACGCTCCATGAAATTAACGCGAATCGTTAAAATTCGCGTTAATTTAAGTCGTATTAATTTTGTTGAGCGTTAATTTCCGCGACGTTAATTAAGTGCAGCGTTAATTTCCGCGCTCATAATTTCCAGTATTTAAACCCCAGTTTTGGAACCTGTCCAGACATTCTTGACACCTAAAAAACATTAACTACAAGCTTTCTTTCTTTCCATTTACCCTTTGTTTTTCATCTTTCACAAACCTAAGGGGAAGGTTTCCAATATTTCGAGTTCATCTTCATCGTTGTCGCTGTCAGAAGTGATGTCAGCTCAGTTTTGAATTTTTTTGCATCCAGTGTACATGTTGAAATAAATTTGTTCCAGTTGTCACCACTAACTGTGTTTTAATCGCGTTAATTTCCTTTATTAGGAAATTCTACCTCCTCTTTCGCGTTAATTTCCTTTATTCGAAAGTGGTTTTCCATTAAATTCGCGTTAATTTAAGTCGCGTTAATTTCCAATACCTTAATTTCATGGAGCGTTAATTTCCTATAATTAGGTATTATGCATGATCTGCTGTCAATGATGTAAAAAGATTGCAAACGGGCTACATTAAAAAAAAAAATTCCGTTATTTAATGACGGGTTTGCGGAAATACTATTGTTAGTAGTAACTCGGCCTAAATTCCTAAAGATGTCATAGTAGAGGCAAAAAACACAAAGACCAAGCGATCAATTGAATGGATTCGGTCGAATAGTGAAATCTTCATCCCGCCAAAACGTGTCCAAAGCCCGCCAAAAATTACCAAATCTCGCCGCTGCCGCTATTTAACTAGTCTGCTACACAGGCGTTTTTAGAGTGGTCGAGGAGCGTTGCGTGACGACACTAAAAACGGCTGTGTAGCAGACTACTATTTAACTCGTTATCCAGTCAAGAAAAAGCTATGTATTGCAGGAAAAAGGAAATCACTTGCACACAGAAGAAAATTAAGGGTTAATATGTCTGATATGTTTTAGCTCGAGTAAGCGAGTGTTATTGTAATGCCATGGTGATCTAAACTCCTAAGTGCAATTTTTAAAGCAACAGAAACACTAGGTGGCATGCCCGTGATTCTGTGAATCAGACACTACGGCATTATGAAATCACTTGCGCACCAAGTAAAAATTTAAAGGTTAATATGTTTTAGCTTGAGTAAGCGAGTGTTATTGTAATGCCATGGTGTTCTAAACTCCTAAGAGCGATTTTTAAAGCAACAGAAACACTAGGTAGCACGCCCGTGATTCTGTGAGTTAGACACCACGGTACTATGGAATCACTTGCGTACAGAAAAGAATTAATGGTTAATATGTCTGATATGTTTTAGCTCGAGTAAGCGAGTGTTATTGTAATGCCATGGTGATCTAAACTCCTAAGTGCAATTTTTAAAGCAACAGAAACACTAGGTGGTACGCCCGTGATTCTGTGAATCAGACAATACGGCGTTATGAAATCACTTGCGCACCAAGTGGAAATTTAAAGGTTAATATGTTTTAGCTTGAGTAAGCGAGTGTTATTGTAATACCATGGTCAAGTAAACTCCTAAGTGCAATTTTTAAAGCAACAGAAATACTAGGTGGCACGGCCGTGATTCTATGAGTTAGACACCACGGTATTGTGGAATCACTTGCGCACAGAAAAGAATTAATGGTTAATATGTCTGATATGTTTTAGCTCGAGTAAGCGAGTGTTATTGTAATGCCATGGTGATCTAAACTCCTAAGTGCAATTTTTAAAGCAACAGAAACACTAGGTGGTACGCCCGTGATTCTGTGAATCAGACACCACGGCATTATGAAACCACTTGCACACCAAGTGGAAATTTTTAAAAGGTTGATATGTTTTAGCTTGAGTAAGCGATTGTTATTGTAATGCCATGGTGATCTAAACTCCTAAGTGCAATTCTTAAAGCAACAGAAACACTAGGTGGCACGCCCGTGATTCTGTGAATCAGACACTACGGCATTATGGAATCACTTGCGCACCAAGTGGAAATTTAAAGGTTAATATGTTTTAGCTTAAGCAAGCGAGTGTTATTGTAATGCCATGGTGTTCTAAACTTCTAAGAGTGATTTTTAAAGCAACAGAAACACTAGGTACGAGGCGCGCTTGTGATTCTTTGAGTTAGACACCACGGTATTATGAAATCACTTGCAAACAGAAGAAAATTAAGGGTTAATATGTCTGATATGTTTTAGCTCGAGTAAGCGAGTGTTATTGTAATGCCATGGTGATCTAAACTCCTAAGTGCAATTTTTAAAGCAACAGAAACACTAGGTGGCATGCCCGTGATTCTGTGAATCAGACACTACGGCATTATGAAATCACTTGCGCACCAAGTAAAAATTTAAAGGTTAATATGTTTTAGCTTGAGTAAGCGAGTGTTATTGTAATGCCATGGTGTTCTAAACTCCTAAGAGCGATTTTTAAAGCAACAGAAACACTAGGTAGCACGCCCGTGATTCTGTGAGTTAGACACCACGGTACTATGGAATCACTTGCGTACAGAAAAGAATAAATGGTTAATATGTCTGATATGTTTTAGCTCGAGTAAGCGAGTGTTATTGTAATGCCATGGTGATCTAAACTCCTAAGTGCAATTTTTAAAGCAACAGAAACACTAGGTGGTACGCCCGTGATTCTGTGAATCAGACACCACGGCGTTATGAAACCACTTGCACACCAAGTGGAAATTTTTAAAAGGTTGATATGTTTTAGCTTGAGTAAGCGATTGTTATTGTAATGCCATGGTGATCTAAACTCCTAAGTGCAATTTTTAAAGCAACAGAAACACTAGGTGGCACGCCCGTGATTCTGTGAATCAGACACTACGGCATTATGGAATCACTTGCGCA